TCCTCAGGGTGCCGTCGGCCAAGCAGTGTCGGCTGGCGACCCCCAGGGGGAGGGCCTTCTCTGTGGGTGCCCCCGCCCTCTGGAACGAACTACCCCCCCAGATCCGGGTGATTCCGGATCTCCTGACTTTCCGCCGCGCCCTCAAGACATGGCTTTTCCAGCAAGCGGGCCTGGCCTAGGGAGGATTTTAAATCGGGTTTATTTTTAGAAAATTTTAAATGTCACAACTTAAAATATTTGGGTTTTAATTGGTTTTATTCGGTGGGGATTGTGGGTTTGTTTTTGTTTTAAAAAAATGTTGTGAGCCGCCCTGAGTCCTTCGGGAGAAGGGCGGGATACAAATTGAATAAAATGAAAATGAAATGAAATGAAGAATAACTTGACTTCCTTTTCTTTTTGTCATCCTCTGAGATAGCACTGTCTTATGTCTAAAGATATTTACTCATGTAGTATGGCTGTATGACTATTATACTTCTCATCTATTACCTTCAACTATTGGTATCTTAAAATTGTATTACTTCGTTGTTTATGCGTACACTGAGAGCTTCTGTGCTGGAGACAAATTTCTTGTGTGTCCAAACACACTTGGCCAATAAAGAATATTGTACCAACCTGAGCACTAATCAGATCATGAGACCAGAAATATATACAGTGAGCCTCAATTAAATGGACCAATTAAGTAAGGGGATGCCCCTTGTTTCTAAATGCCCATTACATTTTAAAGTATGTCATCGTGGCCATTTATATAATCTTGGTAATAACATCATTATGAAAATGATATAAATTACCACAAATGGCATCATTTGAATTATTACAACAATGACATAAATTGTCACTGATGACCAGAGCTTTGATAATCTTTGCTTCATTCGAGCCACTTTGGATGTAATAGTTATGCTCATTATTTTGAGGAAAGATCTGAATGGAAATGTCCATGGAGTCCAAAGTCTGATAAATGGGAGACTGCTAAAATAAGGTTTCATTGTATATCCAAGAACTGAACAAGGGAAAAAGTTGTGCAAAACTGTAGGGGAAAAAAAACATTTCCAGAGAAGATTGGAACAAAAGCCAAATACAAAATGGAAAATCCCAAATTTGATTGATATACAAAATGATCAATCCAAGAGAGATTGAATTGGAATTAAAGCTGGTGCATCAAAGTGTAACTTTTTGAGGTAGTGATAGTACAGGGAGTCTTCGATTTACGACCACAGTTGAGCCCAACATTTTTGTTACTAAGCCAGACAGTTAAGGGAGTTTTGCTCCATTTTAAGATCTTTCTTGCCACAGTTATTAAGTGAATCACTGCAGTTGTTAAATTAGTAACACAGTTGTTAAGTGAATCTAGCTTCCCCATTGACTTTGCTTGGTAGAAAGTTGCAAGAGGTGATCACATGACCCTAGGACCCGGCAACCATCATAAATATGAGTCAGTTGCCTAGCGTGTGAATTTTGATCATGTGATGATGGAGTGCTGCAACGGTTGTAAGTGTGAAAAGCAGCCATAATTCACTTTTTTCAGTGTTGTAATTTTGAGTGGTCATTAAATGAACTGTTGTAAGTTGAGGACTACCTGTATTCATGTGAAGAGCAGAAAAGGAATCCAAGGCCAAAGAGAAAGTTTGGACCTTCAACTTTTGGATCAAGTAGAGGGCAACCGTAGAGCCCAAGGAAGAACTGAAAATGCTTTTGAAATTGAAAATCCAGTCTCTGTGGCACTCTAAGTAAAAACCTGTAATTCATGGATTATAGTTTAGCACAGGGGTCTTCAAACATGGCCCTTTTATGACTTGTGGACTTCAACTCCCAGAATTCCTCAGCCAGCCCTGGCTGGCTGAAGAATTCTGGGAGTTGAAGTCCACAAGTCCTTAAGTTGCCAAGTTTGAAGACCCCTGGTTTAGTTCACCTGGAGCACAAAGGAAAGGATGGTTGTGTTTGATTATGCCTCATTCGAACAGTGATGGTGTTGCTTTTATTTTGCTGACCTCTGTTCTTCCTTCCTGCACTGAAACCATCCCAGATCTTCGAAGGTAACAGCGACAACTACCAGGAAGTCTCCAACACCTTCATCCCACCCATCCTGGCCCGTTACCTGCGCGTTGTACCCCAGAGCTGGAACCAGAGAGCTGCACTGAAAGTAGGGGTGCTTGGATGCCAAACCCTTCGTCAGAAAAACAATGGGGCTGAAGGTAGAGTGTCCAACAATATTTGGAGGGCTGCAACTTCCCTGTCCTTGTTCTGAAATTGAGGTGATTGGTAGCTTTAGCAGGCAGTACCTGTGCTGTCTTGCATTAACAGATTTGCCTGAAATGATTCTCTTTGCAGGCCAGAATAACCCAAAGGTGTTCCTTGGGGTGACCAGCACCCCAACCATTTTCACAACAATCCCAGGAATAGTGATCAATCCAGAAAAAACAGGTAAGACTTCTTGCTCATAATGCCAGAAATGGTTTAATTAAACTTTAAGATAAGCAAGGGTAGGGTAGGAAAGAATTAACAACTGCTTGTTTGCAAAAGAAAAACAAACCAGGGGTAATCACAAAGGCTGCGATCCTGTCCACTCAACAAACTAAGAATGGATTTATACTTTACACTAAATCCTGAAATAGTTGACTTGGCCAAGAAACTAGTATGCGTCTTAATTTATTTTTTATTTATTTAACAGCATTTATAAGCTACCATAGTCTGGAAGAACTAACTATGGTTTATGACTAAAGGTATTGTGCTTACCAGTCAAAATGTGATTCATTCACTAAACCATCATTAAGTAACCATGATTTAGAGCATGGATAGCCTTGGGCCGCACTGAGTGAAGAGGAATTGTCTTGGGCCATATATAAAATATGTAATATAGTTTTATAATATAAAATGACATAATAATGTTAACAGTTTATGATCTTGTGAGCCATATTACTAGCTGTCTAGGGCCTTGGATTGGACATGCCAGATTTAGAGTATAAATGGAGTCCAGATCATAACAATTAAATCATTTTTCCAGGTGTAGTTTAGTGCCATGAAACATTGTGGTGTATTGAATGAACTGTGGGTTCCCACGAGGCTGTCACATCATCCTTTGCCTTTACATGACGTCTAGTATGCTCTGAACTGCAAGCAACCATGCTCCATAATTAATCCAACCCTGTAGGATATGACCAGGCTGAGCCTGAAGGAGGGGTCAAGCACATCATAAGTTTGGAATCCCTTCATACTCACAAGAGAGTCCAGCTCATCTTGAATTCCATTGACTCTTATCTACCACCAATTTGTCTTGACCATAGTAGTTCAGATTCCTGTTGAGAGACAGCAGGGAATAAACCAGTACTCATTTGAACAACCTGGATTCCTGATTTCGCGCACTTGGTAAACCCTAGAATATTGCTGGGAGGTGGGCTTGAAGCAGCCTTTGGTGATTTATTTACTCTTTCTGCAGGTCCTCCATTACTGGTGATGCTCCTAGCTGGAGGTTCACTTTTGATTGCTGCCACTGTCTTGCTGCTGGTCTTTCTCTGTTATAAGAAGAGGTGAGTCTTGCTCCTTTATCCCTGGAACTTTTCTGAACTCATCCCCAAAGATGAGCACAGTCATGGGTCCACATATCATGTGAAGCTCAAAACCAGCAAGTCCCATTTATTTATTTACATCCTATCTTTATGATTTTTGCAAATAACTCAAGCCAGTGTGGCTGGCCTGGGAATTCTGGGAGTTGAAGTCTACATATCTAAAAGTTGACAAGGTTGGCAGAGAGGCATTCTAATCCACTCTATACTTTTCAACCCAACTGTTTTTCATCCCTTCTTCTCTTTGGCAGGAAGGCACCAATCCAGAACGATGGCAGCTTTATAAAAGGTAAAGCACCAAACGATGCAGAGCATTAAAATACAATAGTAGGAGGTTTGCCCTGTTTCGGGTTAATGAGCAGATTCTACCTACAAAACCAAACTGATGCAGACACCCTGACTTGCTTATCTAAGGCTTTTGCATATTGGAAATCGCCTTTTGCCTTTTCCGAACACAGATGGTCTAAATTGCCCTTTGCATTTCAGCACAGGAAGCCATGGCTTTTTATGAAATGTCCCAGGATTTATTAGATGGATGCTGATCATTGTGTGTTTTAAGCTGCTTTATTGATTTACAGAGAAGAGGGCTTTGTTTTCTTCTTACATCCGCATGCAACTTTGGGACGGCATATGAAAGTGCAGCACATCATGTCTCCAATAAATGAAGAACAGCTTCCTTCTAGCCTGTGCCAACTTTCCCATTTATTTTTCTTCCTTTTTGCAGCCTCTTGATTTTATTTTGCTTTTTTTTGCAACAGCTGTATTTGAAAGGAGTCACTTGAATTCAGAAAGTGGATAAACACTCAGAACATCTTTCTCTGAAGCCTTTAATTTGCCCCATGGGGACTTATGTTAAAAGCACAAAGTGGAGTTGCAAATTAGAGGGACAACGGAGGAGTTTGTAATATTTGTTTTGCTGTGTCACTTCTATCCAGTTTGGGTTTTAACTGTAATTCAAAGGTTTTCAATTTTTTTCTGGCTGCAGAGTTAAATTGTTTTTAACTCAGGTTTCTCCAAACTTTTGGTTTGCTTGGGCTGTACTGAGTGAAGAGGAACTTTACTTTAGATATAAATTATCTAAATAAATAAATAAATAGTCTTGGGCTGCATATAATATATATAATATACTTAATGCATAAAAATAACAAACTTTCTTTTTTTGAATTTTATTCAAAATTTTATTTATCTCAAAATTTTATTATCTCTAAATCTATAGATTTATATTACAAGCTTTTCCAGTAGTACCCCTCCTAAAACTCCAGACAAAGAGGCAAAGTTCTCGTGATAGAAAAATTGGCTGTGTTCTAGTAAACTCCGCTCTAATTGCATTTCCTTGTTTTGAAGTCAAGTTTCAGACTGTCCCTCTTTTTCCTACAATAAAATTAATTCATCTGCATACTGAAGTTCATAGCACATATATTCATAGTGCCAGCTGTGAGTTCTTGTAGGGTACAGGTATTCTTGATTTACGACTATTCATTTAATAACCATTCAAAATTACAATGGCACTGAATGAAGGGACTTAAGTTATGACCAAAAATGGTGGCTCTTGCAGCCCCCCCCCCATGGTCACATTATCAAAATTTGGGTGCTCTGCAGCTTATGACTGCGGAGGGAGGCGCAACTCCCACGCACCCAGCTATCCCTTTCTCCCATCTATGCCTCTTTGGGGCCCACCACCTGGCCTTGCTGGGTGGGGGGGCAAGCCAACTCAAAGCTTTAGCCACATGTTGCAAACGATGGCAGGAGAAACTGGTTCCTAAAAGGAGTCAGACTTAAGTCAGATTTAAGACAAGTTTAATTTTGTTTCTCTTCTTTGATATTTCTGAAAATACTGAGACTTTATAAAGCTGCCACCACTTTCCTCTCTATGTGTAACATACACAACACTGCTTTGGATACACAAAGATCTGTATATGGAAAGTGTGAATTTATAAATACCAGATGAGATTAATGGTGGTTGAAAAGCAGTGCAAGTCTTGCAGAAAATGTTTTAAAAATCACTTTAATTGCAATATGCCCATTGGCTTCTAGCTTCTGCTGGTTTCTCTAGGTGACCCTGCAATTCTATTTTAGGTTATTTGATACCAGAAGCCAGCCAGGTATGTTCCAGGGGGAACTTGCAACTGTCTGCCTCTGAAATTGCCTCCTTTCCTGGGACAGCAACGCCGGTAGATCTTACTGGAGCTCAGTCACCAGGTAAGTTACTTTCTCCTAGTGCCACCTAAGAGATCATGTATCCTCTTCTCCTGTCCTTAATATTGGAAGGTGTAGAATCATAGTGAAATCCCATATATGTTCAGGAGAATCTATACCAGGGATGTTCAATTTGGCAACGTCAAGACTCGTGGACTTCAGCTCCTAGAATTTCCCAGCCAGCATGGATGGGTCATAAAATGAGGCAAAGCTCACTTACCAACTGCCTTTTTTAACAATGGAAATTTTGGGCTTTTTGTGGTCATAAGCCAAGGACTTGCGGCAATGCAGAAGAAGTGCTGCATTTTTTTTCTACCATGCTAGAAGGGGCTTGTTGTCTTCTGCTCTTGCCTGCAGTGGAAGATGTTGTCTTATTGCTGATATTGAAATAACATTCAGCTGTTCATCCAGTCAGTTTGGTATAAGGAATGGAGGTGAGCAACCTTTCATCCTTTGCTTTAGCACAGGGGTCTCCAAAGTTGGTGATTTAAAGCCATACTGGTTGGGGAATACTGGGAGCTGAAGTCTACAAGTCTTAAAATTGCTAAGTATGAGCCATGGTGGCGCAGTAGTTAGAATGCAGTACTGCTGGCTACATCTGCTGACTGCCAGCTGCCAGCAGTTCGAGTCTCACGGGCTCAAGGTTGACTCAGCCTTCCATCCTTCTGAGGCCAGTAAAATGAGGACCCAGGTTGTTGGGGGCAACAGGCTGACTCTGTAACCCCTTAGAGAGGGCTGTAAAGCACTGTGAAGCAGCATATAAGTCTAAGTGCTATTGCTGTTGGAGACCCCCTGCTTTAGCACATCCAGCAAGCAGCCTTGTGCATCTGATCAAAGCAGAAGAGTCCGTATGTCAGTCAAGCCTGAACATTCAGGGGTTTCCAGAGTCATGTCTCCATCCTCCTCCAGGAATGTCTCCTTCTTCCCTCACCCTCTCCTTCTTCTTCGCAGAATATGCTGAACCAGACCTGGTTCAAGTCAGCCCTGGCTGCCAGATGGCCCCATCCACCTTCAAGCCAGCCATGGACGAAGGTTACACGCTGCCCCTAGTGGTGAATCCCTATGATGTTCCAGGCAAGCAGCATGAGTACACGGAGCCCTTGCCCCTGGAACCGGAGTACGCCACCCCTTTCGTCGAGCAGCCTGCAGAACTCGGGAGAGGCCCTTGCAGGACAAACCTCGGTGTCCAAATGCTCCCTTTCTCTGAAAGACTGGGGGGCTCTCTAGCTCCACTGGGGCTCCACAAATCTTCACTGCAATATGATTTCCCAACTCAGTGGCTGGCAGAGAAGTTGGACAGCCAAGCAGGTGACACCAGCCAGCAGGAAAGATCTATCCAAACTGACCTTGGCTGCCTGCCTCCTCCTCCTCCTCCTCCTCCTCCTCCTCCTCCTCCTCCTCCTCCAAACGAATGGATTCCAGGCCCGGGAGATACAGCCTCATTTCAGGGCCACCATTTCCAACAGAGAAATTCCCCCTATGAACATGTCTATCACAAACCCTTGTGAGTCCTGCAAAAAGGAAACCTTCCAATCAGGCTGCTGTGAAAAAGACTTTAGGGAAGGACCCAAAGCTCCACTCCTTCAAGTTCAAACTGACATGATCTATCACAGTTCTTCAACGTAGATAAAGGCCAACCAATTGCTGCCCAGTCCTTTTTTAAGCAAAGAGACTCCAGCAGATAAAACTGTGGCCTTCTTTCTATGGGGCAGTGAGTGGCTCAGTGGTTAAGACGCTGGCCTTGTTGGCTGGGAAGTCGGCAGCCCAGGTTTGAGACCCGAGCTCCATGCGACAGAGTGAGCTCCCTTTCTTGCTCCAGTTCCTGCCAACCTAGCAGTTCAAAAGCATGCAAGTAGATAAATAGGTACCACTTCGTGGGAAGGTAACAGAGCTCCATGACATCATGCTGGCCACATAACTTGGGAAATATCTTCGGACAGCGCTGGCTCAATGGCCTTGAAATGGAGATGAGCACCCCCCCTACAATTGGCAATGACTCGCAGAGTAAAATCTTCAGGGACTCCTTTACCTTCTTCCTATGAAATCTGCATTCAGCTATGCTATGCTCCTAGAATGATCTTGATGTTTTGCAAAGAACAATATGTCACCATCTTTCCCTCGATGTGCAAACATCCACCGGTGGAGGAATTAAATCTAGCTTTGAGGCTGATGATAAAATTGTATTTTCCAGTTAGACTGGTTTGGAGAACACATGACAATCAGACAAAGGAACCCAATTTTTTCTCCCCATATATCTTACTGCTACCTCCTAGGATTTTCCATCTGTGGACATTGCCTTACTCTACCTAACAACAGGATCAGCTGATTACATCTACAAAGGACAATCCTTCATTTGATCCATGCTTACTTTCCCTGCCCAAGCTGGGGAACTTTCTAACTAAGTCTCAGGTTGTTAAACTCATGAGAATGACAAGTATTCCAACAATCCTTGCTTGCCTGCATTGTAATCCAAAAACAACAGTGAGGCGTGGGGGTGTAGATTGCATTTATAATTTCTTTTGGCTGCATTGCAGATATTAAGAACAGATGTACATCATGTTATGAGATTCCCAGCTGAAGGAAAAGAGCGAAACTTCATTCAGCAGAGCTCATTAAACTTACTTTCTATTCTTATTCCCTTGAAAAATATTTTGTAAATCAAATTTTAAAAATCTACTGCTTTTTTTCCATACTCCCCTTGCCATCTATTACTAACAAATCTGCTTTGAGTTTTTAATTTTTGCTCCGATTCAGAAATGAAAACTCAAAAAGATTTCCCTGGTTGTAGTTGATGTTTGCATTCTATTTAATAGTCAAATGTAAATGCTCTCCAGGGATCAATATCCATGGAAATTTCCAAGAAAGAGGAGGTGAAAGCCAATGTGATCATCACAAGGTTTATTAAAGGTAAATACAGGAGAAAACATACCATGCTCCCTAGGACAGACAATAGGTATGTATGTTGTTGGAATATCTGTGCCAAGGAGCTGGTTTGTACAGCTTTTATAACCACATGCAAAACAAGATATATGAGAAACCAGCCTAGCAGTGAAATGCCCTTCCTGTAAACCCCTCAGTGCTTTGCACCTGGCATTACCTGAGTGCATTCCCAGATACGGTCTATGCCTCACTATGCATCTTTTATACTAAAAGGTCACAAAGTGATTAAACTTCACATTAACGTGCTTCAGTGTATACACACTTACATGCATTTTACAGTAGTGAAAAAGAAACATGGTTAGGGATGGGGATTCTCTGGCCTCCTATATTATATATTTAAATATAGCTGCCCTCTCCCATAGATGCAAATACCAAACAATAAAAGCAGTTAAAATATACATCAGTCCAGGCAATCCAATTAAAACAAGCATTAACAGGGATAAACCAGAAGCCGCACAGTCACATCAATTCCAGGCCTGAGACCAGAACCAAGTCTTAGTGTTTTTCAGAATCTTAGAAAGGAGGGTGCAGCCATATTTGCCAGTCTTCCAAGTAGATCATGCAGGAAATACAAGAGGATAAGCTAATTCTATTTTATTGTGAGGCTATAGAGGTAGTCCTTGACTTACAACAGTTTATTTATTGACTGTTCAAAATTACAAGCATTGAAAAAAGTGACTTGTGACTGTTTTTCATACGACCATTGACTCATGTTTATGATGGTTGCAGTATTCTGGGGTCACGTGATTACCTTTTGCGAACTTCTGACAAGCAAAGTCAATGGGTAAGCCAGATTCACTTAACAACCATGTTACTAATTTAACAACTGCAGTGATTCAGTTAACAATTGTGGCAAGAAAGGTTGTAAAATGGGGCAAAACTCACTTAACAATTGTCTCGCTTAGCAACAGACATTTTGGGCTCAATTGTTGTAAGCTGAGGACTACCTGTATTTACAGATTCATGCAAGTCTGAAAATACAACTCCCCCACCACCTCTTTTTACCACCTGAAAAGTTAGGAGTTTCTTTCTCTGCCCATTATTCAGTTGTGGGCTTCCCCTCCTTTTACCTGATTGTTCCCTAGGCAGGGTATCTTCCTTTCGCCTCCCAAGGACATTCCTAAAAAACATTACAGGGGGATGCTGGTCCAGTGAGTGAGGGCTGTGACAAGGAAGCATGCTTCCTAGGTTCCATAAGATGACAACGCTTATTAGAAGGACCTGGAGTATAGAGTATTAGAAGGACTCTGTGGTATTGCGTGGCAGAAATAGTTGAGGATAAGGGGTCCTACAGGGAACCCAGTCCTATGCCATGCATGGCTTTATAAATAGTGGTCAAATATGGTTCAACAAGAGTTCCTTGCAGCCCCTGCCGCCATGTCCAGTAGCAAAGGAACACTGTAGGTCAGAGGTCCCCAACCTTTTGGGCACCAGGGACCGGTTACGTGGAGAGAAATTTTCCCACTGACTGGAGGGAGCGTGGTTTTATATGCTGCCTGAATCCTGCAGATGGGGTTTTGCTTGTTTGTGCGGCCCGGTACTGGTCCACGGACCGGAGATTGGGGACCCTTGCTGTAGGTAACATCTGGAAGACCAAAGTCTCCCTTGCTGCACTGATAATGTAGAATATTTCATGGCCAATATAGAGAAGTTATTTTCTCCCTCAGGAATTTTTTTTTCAATTCCTCAGACTAGTCTACAGCCCAGGAACACCCTTGTGGTCTCCAATACAAGTACTAACCAAGTCCAGCCGTAGTTAGCTCAAGGCCAACAGATGCTGTTACCTAGCTTAGTGTTCACACAGATGCAATCATAAAATGATTTGACTTTGTCAGAAGATTGGAAATGGTGATCATGTGACCCTAGGACACTGCATGTCCTAAAGCAATGATGGCGAACCTTTTAGAGACCGAGTGCCCAAACCGCAACCCAAATCCCACTTATTTATCGCAAAGTGCCGGGGGGCCATCAGCATTGTGCTGGGGGGGGGGAGGCAGGGAGGCACCTTTGACTGCCGCCTTTGGCATGCAAAAACCAGGGGTGCAAAAATGGGCCACTGTGCTGCAAGGCGCAAATACAAGGTGCTGCACCATGCAAGAATGGGGTGCAGATACAAGGTGCTGCACCATGCAAGAATGGGGCAGGGCTAGTATCACGCAGGCACTAGGCCCACCTCATTTGCAGCGCATGCATGCTCACGGCCCCGTGCACGCACATGCGCATATAAAATGCTTCCCCCTCCCTTTTCTTCCAGTCCGCCAATCGACAATGGTTGGTGACCTCTGCTCTACCACCTCTACTCGAGTTTGCTAGTCGGCCGCTTCGCCTCCTTTGTGCTGGGCGGGGCTCCTGCTCCGGGCAGCGGTGGTGGCCTGATGGACCTGCTGCTGGCAGTGGCAGCATGAGTGCCAGCAGAGAGGGCTCTGAGTGCCGCCTCTGGCACGGGTGCCATAGGTTCGCCACCACTGTCCTAAAGACTTAACAGGTGCCCAGCACCCAAATTTTTATGACATTACTCTGGGGATGCTGCAACAGTGATAACGGTGAGGACTAGTTGTCCCTTTTGACAGTCATTAAGTGTGAGGATCAGGGCTAAAATCACTTTTCTCAGTCTGAGAAGTGGGAGGATGAATTATACTGTATGTCACTTTTTTCAGTGCCACTATTAGGTGAGATTCTGCCAGTCCCTCTCTCAGCCCTAGGAATGAGGCAGTAAGTCTCCGAAAGCGATTGCCGTTATTCAGTCGCGCATGACTGTTTGTGACCCCACGAACCATAGCACGTCACTGCGGAACACACTGACGTTCTCATTCTCCGACGTCCCTCTCACCTTTTTTTTGATATTTCTCAACAGCCATACTTTTCCCCCGGGTTCCTCTTTTCATTTGGCGGACAAAGTGAACTACAGCCACCCTTAAAAACGGCCTAGCCCCAAATTATTATTCAACAATCGTAAAACGGGGAGCCGGAACAAGCGATTACCAGCTACCCCCCTTCGCAAAAATTATGCTTCCGAAATCTCTTGATAGCGATTCCGCACGGAAAGAAGCGAGCCGCAGCCACCCCATCCATGTGCTACTCACAGCAGAAGCCCTTTTTTAAACGCGCGCTTTGCGAGCGCCGCTGCAATTGATCGGCGACATTTCTTTAGGTCACAGCGAGAAGAGTACCAAATTACAGCCACCCTAGTCATCTCCACGGAGATTTGACATAATAAGTGTTGTTAACGACGGTCCAAATCCGGTTTAATTTTAAAACACGGCAACATTTCTCTTTTTCTAGTCGATATGCAAAAATAGCGCGGAATTCTGGGTAGAAGGGCTGGGAGTGAGTTTTCGGAGTTCAGATAGACCTGTCAAATACAGATTTAGCGCGGGAAGCGGAGGGGATTTACCTTCGCTAATTAATAGGCGCACCAGACCGGACTGGAAAAAAAAATAAAGTATCTTTGCTGGAATAAATCAGTTCCGCTGAAGTACAAGGCAATTCCTTTCAAAGTAAATCGTGTTCATTTATATTTGTCTCCTGGTTTTTCTTTTCACTTGAAAGTTGGCTTAACTTTAATGCACAGGGACCTTCCGAATGAAAGCTCGAGTCAGCCCGAATGCAGAGCCTGACTGCATTCGCACAATACGCTGACCCACGGCCGAATGGCCTCCACTTCTTACATTCGTATGGCTGGCTGCACCATAAACGGATGGCATGCCTGGGCTGCATAACCAAAAGGGGCTCGTCTAGTTTGCGATTCAGTGAGTCGTGCGAACGCAGTTCTAGCTCATTTGGAATTGGAACCGCAATCTCCCTTCTCCAAATCTTGGGTTATATTTGAGGAATGCAGGTATTTATTTCCCTTTCCCAAGATATTTGTGCAAAATCCATTGGTTTCCCTCATGCTTCTCTCTGCTCTGTTCGCACAAAATACTTAGCTTGCGGACTGAAGTCGGCACAATGCGCTGAAGAATAACTAACCCAAAGAAGTTCACCAAAAATAACTAATTTTAGGTTGCCCAAATGAACCTCTTAAAATTTACAGTTCCCCTGGGCAGGCACGTGCTGCGAGCGGGCAGTGCTGTGTACCGGCGCAGAACAAGAGTCTTCTTCTTCCTCGCCTTATTCCCGCGCTTTGGCGGGGTCCGCTTCTTGCACAGAACAAGACCCTTAAAAAACTTTCCTGCGGGCGCTTGAACTACAACTCCCACTAGCGGCGGGAGTTGTGGCGCTTGCGCAGTCAAGCCAGGGCCGCCCAACGAAAGAAGGGCAGAAAGGGACTTCTCCATTGGTGGATGAGCAGGCCAGTTGGCGCGCGGGCTGATAAAAGGGGCGTTTCCCGACACTTCCGTGGTTTCGCGGTCGTGACTCCGGAAGTGTTCTGTCGGCGGAGACCCGGCGAAGGCGAAGGCGGCTGGCAGCTCGACCAAGGGAACCCGGACGCTATGAGAAGCTGAGGCGCCGGTGAGTGAGTCGCCCGTGACAGAAACAGCGTGGTGGTGGTTGGCCCGTTTCCACTTTAGTGTTCGGCGTGGGCGCCATATCTAAGTGTAGCCCAAGGACTCCTTTTCTCCCCCCCCCCACACACACAGACCTTGAGGTACGCCGGCCTGAGCGGGGTGCCTGGCCGCCAACCTCCCGTGGCTGGGGGAGGGCTGTAACTTATTCACACGCGCACACACCGTCAGCCCAATACTCCCTCCCCATCACTCGGGTTCTCTTAAATCAGGGGTCTTCAAACTTGGCCCTTTTATGACTTGTGGACTTCATAAAGTCATAAAAGGGCGAAGTTTGAAGACCCCTGTCTTAAATAGACTTCCCACCCTTCTCTTGACAGCAAGCATCCCCTGCTTTCCTAGGTCTTTGTTTTCAAACACCCGTATGTCGCCTTTTATCCTTGTTTGTGTTTTGAAAAATAAATTGTGTTAGTGCAGAGGTCTCCAACCTTAGCAACTTTAAGACTTGTGGACTTCAACTCCTGGCTGGGAAATTCTGGGAATTGACGTCCACAAGTCTTGAAGTTGCCAAGGTTGGAGACCCCTGTGTTAGTGCATTATTGTTATTGGTACTGTATTTTGTGATAGTCCATATGTACCTCTACTCAAGTAACGCAGAAAACTCAGTAATAATAACCACCCAGTGCCAAACCAAAGCTGTTTAGTCACTTTGAACTTTTAATTACTTGATGAACATAATATCACTGAGATTGTCTTTTGGTAACTGCTGTTTTGATTTCTGTAAACTCATGCTTGTGTAATCAATGATATCTTGTCACCTTGACTTTGGCAAAATGTTTGGAACAATAACCTCCAAGATTATAAGACCATTTTTAAAGGAGATGTAGGGGTTCTGGTGGGTTTTTTTTTTTTGCATGTCAAAGTCTCTATTATTTTTTAGGCTGGAGGCAGGAATGCAGAATGCTCTGAAAGAATTTGATAAGTATTCATAGCCAGGGAGCAACTGCTGTGTAGGTTAATTCCGACTATTTACTTGCAGGAACATTTTTTTTCTTTTTTGAAAATGGCCTCTCCATTCAATGGCCCCACAGCAGTTTCTGATGTAATTAAAGATCTAGATACTCAGATAGCTGTAAGTAAATTGGCTTGAAGTGACCATCGCATGGCATGCTAGCATCATAATGAAAAGCTAAAGGTTTGTGTCTTTTTAATTTTAATCATTTGCCAAGATTGAAATCTGATGGTAAACTTTGTAAGAATATATTGCTTTCTTGTTAATTAACAGAATATAATATGATCTCTGTGTTATTAAGTCAAGACATTGAATATGTGACTAAAATCTGTTTTCAGAGTCCTTGTACAAATTAGAATTTAGGTTTGCTTTATTCTATCAATTTCTCTGTATTTTAGCATTTCATTCTTGTTGGAACCATTGAATATTTTATAAATATCCCCTACCCAGAAGAACCTAGTTTTAATTTGGTTTTAGGACAACAGTTAATCCATGAATGATAAATTGGATTGTACCTACTTACTGTGCAACAAACCTAAATTGTGAAGCTTTCCAATAGGTGAGATTGAAGAAAAAGCCAATACTCTATATGTGTATTTCTTTAAAATAAACCTGAGAGAAGATACGTCTTCCTGGGAAATAGATATTGAGAGAGCCATGCAAATAGTTCTGGAAGAGGCTAATCCATGTTGGATCTAACACAGTGCTTCCTCTCAATAAGAAGTTATTACAACTACCGTATCAATTTGGAAACCAGAGGGAACGCTTTCTATGCAAACCAGTTTCCTAGCACAATGTGAATGAGGCAAAGTAATTAAACTTTGCCCAGTATTGGATAGGAAAGATAACCTAAAGTTTATTCTGGCTTTGAGCTCCATACCCTTCCTCGCTTTCATAGCCAGCTCTTTTTAATGGCAGATGGGTTCTCCTTTGACAAGAAATATTTGATTATATTGAAAGCAGTTCTGGATTCTCCCTCCAAAACTTAGTATCATTGTCTTTTTATCACAGTGTGTTGAATAAAGTAAATGCATGATAATAAATATTAACATAGTAATATTCTAAATATTCTTTTGTGTATTATTCTGTTTGGATCTTGTTCTTAAAATTGAAGTAATAAAGATTATATTGAACTTGCTATTTTTGATTGTAAACATACAGCATGGTTTGGTCTTGATGTGGTATTACAAGTTGCAGTGTAAAAGTAAACTAATACAGCCTGAGCTGTATTAATATACTACTAACTTATGGCTCAGGGGAAAAAACTAAGAAATGGGCTGTTTACAATACTTGCTATATTTTCACTGATAAGTTGCTTTTCTTAGTAACAGGTTCCTGGACTCAGTTAACATGTCCAAGATACTGACATTTCAATCTACACCTTGTTTTTAACTTTGAGGCCTGTTTCTTCTTATAGTTGGTTGGTTTGGGTCCACATAATCCAAAAAAGAAGCAAGACCTGGATAAGCTCTATGACCTCAAGACTAAAGCTCAGCAGATTATGAACCAGTTTGGTCCGTCTACCTTGATCAATTTATCAAACTTTTCTTCAATCAAAGCAGAAGCAGGCAATACTCCTCCTCATAGTTCCATGGCAAACAATACCTCTGTGGCAAAGATGCCTGGGACCCCTAGCAGTGGGGGACGCCTCAGTCCTGAAAGTAATCAGGTAATTGTTCATGATGTGAGATATAGTCAGCACATCTGGAGGGCTCTGGGTGGAGGTGGCTTTAGAGCAGGGGTGGGAAACTATGGCCCTTTTCTGACTTGTGAACTTCAACTTCCAGAATTCCTGAGCCAGCCATGCTGTCTCAGGACTCCTGGGAGTTGAAGTCCACAAGTCATAAAGGGGCCATAGTTCCCCACCTCTGGTTTAGAGGATCCACTTAGGGGCACTATCATATATGTTGCTGACTGGAAGTGCTTCTAAGCAAGATCTTTTGATTTTTAACTGCACAGAGGTGACTATAGCAGAATGAACCTGGTAAAATATGCTAATATTTTCTATAGATATTAACAAAGAAGAAACTGCAGGATCTGGTTAGAGAAGTGGATCCAAATGAACAGCTGGATGAAGATGTAGAGGAGGTTGGTCTTAGCTGAAATGAGCATCACAAACATCTAAACCTCTCTTTGGTTAAAATGTGCCATTTTATTCCTTCCAATTTTTCACTGGGGGGGGTGGGTGTCCAAAGAATGCTCTGTCAGTACCTTCTGAAACAGCAGCAGCCATTCTTGCTGATGCTGAATTCCATTTTGACAGATGTTGCTGCAGATTGCTGATGACTTCATTGAAAGCGTGGTGACCGCTGCCTGCCAGCTTGCACGGCATCGCAAGTCTAACACTTTGGAAGTAAAGGATGTCCAGCTGCATCTTGGTCAGTGTAAAGATGTAAATGTATCTATTTCATGATAGCTGACAGCTAACTTATCAGTTGTTTTGGATTGTTTTGTCAACCCGCAGAGCTACATAACCCAGGCTACATTACAGAAACAATCACTTTCCCCTCCACTTATGTTGATGCTGTGCCATCAAGTTATTTTTGACACCTAGTGATTATATAGAAAGATTTTCTCCATAATCTGTCCCTAAACAGTTCTGTCAAATCTTCCACTGGTGCATTTATTACCACCTTAGCTGAGTTTGTCCATCTTGCTACTGGTCATTCTTTTCTTGTTTTTTCTTCCTTGCTCCTCCAATGAGTCACTATCTGAAACATAGTGACAAATGCTGTGTGGAGCTCCCAGGTTACACCTTCTAGAAGTTTTCTCTAGTACCCCACCCCATCCCCACTTGTGGGGTACAGCTTCCATGAGACAAGTGCAGTGGATGTGATGGACTTGTAGCCTATAACCTCTGGAGGATAGTGGAATGGAAAAGCTTGCAATCAGCAGCTTGGCAGTTTCAATTCTGTGACTCTTGCACTGCTGTCATGTTTTAAAGCAGTATTTCCAAACCTTAGCCATTTTAAAATGTGTGGACTTCAACTCCCAGAATACCCCAGCCAGTCCACACATCTTAAATTGACTAAAGTTGGTAAGCACTGTTTTAAAGGGTAATGTGGTGTGGTGACTTTTGCATAGGTGCACCTTTCCTTCCAGTGATTGCTGCAGTCCCATTGGGGCAAGGCATGAAAAGGAATCACAAATGAGGCTTCATCCTTCTGAAAAAGTGATTTCCAGATTGTTACTGTTAAGTATAAATGGCATCATGGTTCACTTTCCCTGTCTTTGCATGTAAACCTATCTCCTGTCAGTCATCTGTCAGCCCAGATTGCAAAAATCATATTGGGAAGACTTAAGAACTCAAAAGTATTTTTTTTATTAGGTGCCTCATGGGTTTGTCAAAAAGAATATAAAAAGGGACCCCTGGGAAGTCTGATTCTTGCAAAGGCATCAATTTTGCTCGTTTCTCATTGATATAATTTTGCATACTAGAATATTAATTCATTGCTTTCTAAATGATTGAACCTGCTTCTCATGGCTGTTTATCACTTGTTTAAATTGTCTTCTGCTTATGATTTTATTTCTTCAACTACAAACCACACTGATGCTGTTGCTGCCCCCAGAACGCCAGTGGAATATGTGGATCCCAGGTTTTGGCTCTGAAGAAATCAGGCCCTACAAAAAAGCCTGCACTACAGAAGCTCACAAACAGGTAAGGATCTCTTCCCCCCCCCCCAAATAATTCACACCTAAGTAAAATAATGCTGTGTGAAGCAGATGGTTTCTGCTCCATGAAACCAGTGATAAACAGCAAGAAAAGGGAATATCTCAAATGAAAAATCAGCTTGCTAACAAATTGAGGTTTTATGTCCAATTTCTACTGTTCAAATTCCACCTTAGCTTTTTTTTAAAAAAAAATCACGATGCATGCCTAAATCCCTTTTCTTAATTGTTTATATGATTTAACCATAGAATAAATAATAGTATCTTCTGAGCTACACTCTGTTTTCCCACTTAATACTTCATTGCAGTTCTATTTAAAAAAGATTGTGGGGAATGTTGTTCTGAACCAGGACTGCCTACCCTGAAATTACTATTTTGGCCTAAAAGGGAATAGGTAAATAAACAGAATCTTTCCTCCAAACACAAAGGGCAATTTTGGAGATATGGAATGATATGCCTTGGGAGTAATTTAAACTGGGCGAAAAGGAGATGAACTTCTTTAATTGGAGCTTCAATCAAGCTTGAATACTCAATAGCTACTGATATTCTGGAGGGATGGATTCTTGGGTGAATTGTAAAATTACCTGTTTGAGTTCCGTTAATCATATTCCTAATTTAACTTACCAAGTCTAATGGAAGTCATCCACACATCTCTTTCCCTCATCCCCCAAGGCTATCCACACTTTCCATTATATCCAGAAACCCATGTTCATACTGTCTTTTTCCCCCCTTTTCAGAGAATGGCATTGATCCGCAAAACAACCAAGAAATAACTCTGGGAAAAGACAGAAATCAAAAAGAAAAAAAAGAGACTCTTCTAAGAGAAAAAAAAAAGTCTGCCTCTGAAGCTGTGGAGTGTCCTTGAGGTCATCTGTTGGATAATTATTATTTTTTTGCAATGCTTCACAGAGAAGCATATATTTTCACAGTGCAGCAATAAAGGGTTATTAGAGAAGATCTGCCAAACATCAATAGGTCTCCTCATATCTATTCCCCCAAAGGAACTTATCTTGAAGCATAGACTTTTATTTTCTCCTTCTAAGTGATACACGGTGTCCATGATTGTCCAAGGGATAAAATATTTTGCTATTTTTGAGAACAGTATTAGAAGTGGCCATAGATTTTTTTTTATTTCCCCCCCTACTTGTAATGTTGCTATTCAAGGTATTTGGATTTCTTTCAGAAAATGAATGAGGGATCTCAAAAGAAGACCACAGTATTGACAGGAGTGTTTCAGTTGGAAGCAAATTTCTTTCCTTTTTATTTAATGGTCAGGATGGCCTGGGGGCAAAGTTGAATTCTTTTTCTACCACAAATCCTGTAAAAATGCAGTAGAAACAGATTTGAGCTATAAAATTAAAAAAGCAGTCTGCTGGCCTGGTTAAACTGCCTTACTGTTCCCGAGATAGTCTCTGACAAATGGCTGTGGAAGTGGGGATCGTTCACCCTTCGCATCCAGAAGTTTGGATACAATTTGTGGTTTGTTCCTTTTTTCCTGTAAGTGAGTGAAATATATTTTTTGATTCCCAGGAGGGTTCTGCATTCTAAAAGCACACTTGACACCCAGCATTTTACTGGCATAGAAGTATTTGCTGGCTCAGATATTGTGGTGCATTGTGAAAGCTACTTCACTACTTCTGGAGGGGAAGGTTGTTTCTGAAGCAGACTCTTGCCGAAAATGTATATCCTCCCTCCCCAGTTCACACTTGATAAGCTACATTGGAGCAGCCAAGGGGGGTGCTTGGCCAAGACTCTGAATGGAGGAAACAGACATTGATTTGGGTTCCCCATCCTCATTGTCTTTGGTTCTCTGTATAAGGTCTGACTGCATCAGCTTTGTGTTGAGCCACCCAACAGGGACTTTAAAGAAGAATCTCTGTAAGTTTCCACTAGTTGAAAATGTAACAATAAATGAATACCCTATGTATCTGCTTTTCTAAGGTGTCTTGTGAATTATGCCAAGGCAACATCCACAATTATTGAGTTCTTTGAATAAGAAAATGGCATCAAAAGCTAGGTGGACCACAGTGCTTCTCCTAGTAGGGAAACAAGCCATGAATAGTGTGAAACATTCACGTTTCTATTCTTTTAGATCTTCCCTTTTCTCAGGGTAATGCTTAGTAGAAAGGGATATTAGCTCTCATTTTATCCTCAGAAACTCTATAGAATTGAGAAATAACAAGCAGCCTAAAAGTAATTTAGAACTTCACAGGGGGATTGGAGCTGCATCTTCCCAAGACACAGTCCACTTCTTTAACCCAGTGTTTCTCAACCGTGGCAACTTAAAAGATATGTGGACTTCAGCTCCCAGAATTCCCCAGCCATCACACTAAGGAAGTTGCCAGAGTTGAGAAACATTGTCTTAACCAATACAGCCACATGGACTTCTGCTCTATCTCATTGTTAAAACTGCCCATCTCATGTGGGCTCTTTCGTCTCTTTGCCTCTGGGATTAGCCACTGACCTGTGCCCAGCTTCTGGCTCTGATCAGGAGCTATTAACTGTGAAGACATTTCCATGTGATACAGGAGATATATTCATACAGGGCTGTTGATATATGTCTGCTTGTTCATGCGATTTAATGGAAGCTGTAGGAGGCCACATTCATAACCTAGCTTCTAGTGCATTCTTAAGGGGTTTTTTGTTTTGTTTTTTCATTGAAAAAAAGTTGATTAAGGAAAAAAGATGGAATAACCACTTAATAGATTTAGATGAGCACATTTAATCCATCCAGGTGTATTAAGATAGAACTCACACCATTTCTGATCAGCAGCCATGCTAGTGATATATATATGTGGGCTGCACCCATACACTGAAGTGGACTGTTTATTTTAAATGCACCTGCAAAATCAGTGTAAGGTGAAATTATTACTGTTGTCACAACAAATACCATGCTTCAGTCAGTTTCTCCTAATCCTGATATCAACAACTTGTAATGCCATTTGTCTTTTCCAATGCCATCTACGTAACCAGTAGATCTAAAACTAGGAATCTGAAATAATATCAGCTGCAATGTCTTTAGTGTCTACATTCTTTGTTACTGAAAGCTAAATTAATTACCAATAAGAAGCATGGAAAACTCCCTCTTTATGCCTGATTGAACCTGTGAATATTTTATAGTTGTGATACTTACATATATCATTTGGTACAACAGCTTTTAAAAAAGTTGTTGTTAGTTGCGAAGTCATGCCCGACCCATCGCAACACCATGGGCAACCTTCCTCCAGGCCTTCCTGTTCTCTACCATCTTCTGGAGTCCATTTAAGCTCAGGCCTACTGCTTCAGTGACTCCATCCAGCCATCTCATTCTCTGTCGTCTCCTTCTTCTATTGCCCTCCATCTTTCCCAGCATCAGGCTCTTCTCTTTTTAAAAGTACAACGGCTTTTTAAAAATATATATATATCAAATTATCAGTACTTAAAAAGGCGAAGTCTCCTTTTTACATTATTATTGCACTGCTATAGAATTAAGCGTGTTTTAACTTGTTAAATCTGCAAAGTACTTCTTTCATCTTTAAAACTTGTGTGTACTGTACTTGTTCTAGTTTGAAGAGGAAAACAAAGGAAAATTACAAAGGAAAAGTGACAGTATGAATGAAACAAGCAGTGCCACTTAATAAAAGTCTTACCTGGAAGAAATTTATTTCAAGCTCTGCTACTTTTCATTTGTTGCTCTGCTTAGCATTAAGAGGGCACCTTAATAGAGATAGCAAGTTTATATGACATGGCACCAACTGCTAGTTCTACATCTTACTTTACAAAAGCAGAAAACAGTGTTCTCTTTTTTTCTAACCACATGATAAAGCACAATCTAAAATCTGCCAGTTAAAGAAATTGAAGTAACTGAGTTGGTTACCAATCAGATTAGAAAGTGATATATGGGATTGGGTTTCTTAGATGATGCTTATGTTTGTCTCTCATATTTCAAGCTGACTCTTCACTGGAGTATCAGACATAGCAAATTTTGAAGCAGTGTAAGACTGTTAACTGCAATTATATTGGGGACAATATATTGTCACTTGGACATAATGCTAACCATCCTTTAATATCACAGAGTAGTGATGATGTGCAACACTGCCCTGTGTTTATCTGAAGGTGTGAATAGACGTGTACAGATGGAATTCATGAGATTCACTCTAAACAGATCAAGGTTCACTCTGAAAGATTTCAGCCAAGGTAGCTTGAGAATGATGAATAAATAATCACCGGCTCAGAAGACACTGACTAATAGCAATAGCATTTAGACTTATATACTGCCCCATAGTGCTTTACAGTGCTGTATGGGTGGTTTACAATATCAGCATATTACCCCCAACAATCTGGGTCCTCATTTTATCAACCTTGGAAGGATGAAAAGCTGAGTCAACATTGAATTTTTTTTAAAAAAAGATTCTGTATTATCCCCACCACTTCAGTGACAATGGGTAGATTGGGAAAGGACCCTTACCACTAAGTAATTTATGGAAACAAATTTAATGAACATGATCCAGTTTTTTAAAGACACACAATGTAGCTCCTGCAACAGAAAATTATTCTCTTAAATAACAGCTCTCATGTGAAGTGCACCAAGAATCTAGAAGTGTGAGGTAACTGCCAAGGAAAGACAAGCTGAGCTGTGACAGTGAATTCTTGTTTGGTGTTAGAGATATGTATGGAAAGTTGATCACAGCTGCCACACCAAACTATAGTAGGTACCATGCTTCATGGGTATCCCAGCTTGGTTCTTCATGAGTTCAACCCTAGCCTGGCAGCTACACTTGATCACTTTTAAAAACTTTCTTTACATTTGTGACTTGCAAGACTAAATGAGATTGTACGCCTCTGTGATGGAGTCTTCACGATTTGTGCCCACAAGGTAGGCTTACAAAATTTGCTTTGAGCTTTTTCTGCTCTGCAAACCCCATTGCACACATATACATCATTTAAGGACTCTGCAGATTGTGAGTACTTAGACCACAGTGGATTAGTCAACAAATCATGGCTTCACAACCCACAATGTAGCAAAATGTGTAAATTCTTTTGCAAAATTGTTAACACAAGAACATTGTCCCAGTGGCGCAGTGGTTCTTGTCTTTAGCTAGCTAGCAGGAACACGTCTTTCTCTTTTCCTGAGAAGGAACCTCTGGCTGAACCGGCGATGGCAGTTTGGTTTTCACTCCATCCCACTGTGGACCAGATTTCATTACCCCACTTTTCAAGGCCTTGTAGATGCCCAGAGTTAACATTTGGAAAACTGCCTCCACATTCCTGCTGCTTTTCGCCGAGGTCTCGATATACTTTGCTTCCAGGGAAACAGCCAGCTTCTCAGCCTCCCTTTGTTTCACCTTCCGTTCAGCCTCCAGATCACTCTTGTTCCCCACCAGCACGAAAACTGGATGATGAGGTTTGACTGTGTCCACCACTTCCTGGTGCCAGCTCCTGATGTTCTCAAATGATGCCCGATTGGTTAGGTCAAACATCAGGACTCCCCCAGCTGCATTACGGTAGTAAGAACGTGTCACTGATCTACATCACAGAAATAAAATTTGCTGAGCATGGAAACATTGCAAGAAGTCAGAAATACCTTAAATTAGAGCAGGGTTGCGTTCAACGAGAGAATAAGGACAAATCTATCGCTTTCACCCTAATGGAGCCAGGAGCATCCATTTCTATTTTTCTAAAGGAAAGTAATTGCTTCCCAGTCAATGAAGGTTATGTTATTTGGCAAAAATATTACCTTTCTAATTTTATTTCCAGTTTAATGTTAGTGTTTTTTAAAATTAATTTTGCTTTTACAATATGCACTTTGCTGTTTACAGTTACATTGCCTGGAGGAACTTTCTGGGACATTAATTGGGCATCTATTTTTGTGAAATTCCAATAACTTTTAATATATACATTTGCATAAATACATTAGAATAAGCACAAGTCTCGTTTCATTACATATTTTCCATCACTTGGCTGTCCTTCTTGATCAGGGACTCTAGATTCTTTTTAAACAAAACTCACAACTTCCAGAACCCCAAAAAGTCTGAAACCCCCTGAACTAAAGCGTTCAGTCAAACTAATCAAGTTAAACTAAGCTTTCAAGTTCTCTATTAATGTGTGAATTGTAATATTGTTCAGGTATTTCATGTTCCTTAGGGTGTGGTGGTAGACATCTGTGGTCACACGAGTCATCTATAGGGAGGGACTCTAGTTCCCTGTCTCACCTGGATACTTAGATTAAAGCAACTCTGAATATATATATATTATATATATTATATATATATTATATATATATATATATATAAAAGTACCGGAATTTTGACCATGTAATGGTGCAGAAACCAGTCACTTTTTTCAGTGCCATTGTAATATTGAATGGTCACTAACTAAATAGCTGTAAGGTGAGGACTTCTTGAAAGGGAAAGAAAAAAAGCTGGAGTCTCTTAGCTCGTCTGAAACTAAATAGCTTTGTTCTTTCCCTGGGAACATCTAATCACCAGACTGTTGCAGTTAGTAAGATCTTCATCATGGCGTTGCTCTTTTATTCTTTTTCTTTTCCTCGTGTGTCCCATCTGTTCCTTTGTTTACTTATTCCTCACATTTACACAGCCACCCTTCTCGGAAATTTGACACTGGGAGGCATACCATAAAAACAATCATAAAAAACTAATACTGAAACATTCCATAATAAAAAGCATCAATAAAGGTGGTCCTCAACTTACAGTCACTCGTTTAATGACCAGCAGAAGTTACAACGGCACTGAAAAACATGACTTATGACTGTTTTTCACACTTATGACCATTGCAGCATCCCATGGTCACATGACCAAAATTCAGACACTTGGCAACTGGCATGTACTTATGACTGTTGCAGTGTCCCAGGATCATGTGGTCACCTTTTGCAATCTTCTGACCAGCAAAGTCAATGGGGAAGCCAGATTCACTTAACAACCATGTTACTCACTTAACAACTTCAGTGATTCATTTAACAAGTGCAGCAAGAAAGATTGTAAGATGGGGCAAAAATCACTTAACTTGTTTAGCGACAAAAATTGTTGTCGTAAGTCAAGGACTTCCTGTACATTACACCAGAGGTCCCCAACCCCCAGGCCGTGGATTGGTAACCGGGCTGCAGCCTGCCAGAAGCCTGCCCACGCAAACAAGCGAAGCCCAATCCATGGGATGCAGGCAGCACACGAAACCATGTCCCCTCCGGCCCGTGAAAAAACCTCTCCCCACAGAACCGGTCCCTGGCGCTGGGGCGTCTGCATTACACTGGCTGTCTTTATACTCTATGAGAATCTAACTAAAAACAGTGCTGGGAATCTAAAGTTTTTACCCCTCCAAACAACTAGGAAGCAAAGCTTAAGCCTCCTTTCATTTGCAGGCTTGGAAAAGGCCCATCACTTCTGGCCTTTTGGCTGAGAGATTCCAGACCAGCCTTTCTCCCATGACTCACCTGAACCGTTCTTGGCCCGCCGTATCCCAGAACTGCAGCTTGAAACGCAGTTTGGGCTCCATCTCCAGAAAGTGGACATAAAAGTCCACCCCCACCGTTTGGTTCATGGACTCCACAAAGACCCCGTCAGCATAGCGCTTCAGAAGACACGATTTCCCCACCGTGGAATCGCCCAGCATGATGATCCGGAACTGATAGTCCCAGGGAGAATCCACAGCCATTGGGAGGCTGGAAGAAGGAGAGCCTCTGGAAGCTGCTATCTCTTGTGTGCCTGTGTCGGTGTCGGTCTGTGGGCGTGCATGCGTGTGCACCGGTGGAGTGGAGCGAGAAAGCTCATGCCGGCTCAAAATAAAACAGGAACACTCCAATCCGGGGTTCAACCTGGAGTCCCAAACAGTGGAAAAAGTTCTCACCCAGGTAGGAAACTGGTTGAGACTTGTTAGAGATTAGCACAGGTAGTTGCTCTCCCTTTGACCGCCTGAGGCTGCGGCTCTCTTATTCCATGTTTGGGCAGGCAGGCTGCTCCTAAGGGAGGCAGGATATGCACACTCTCCCTGTCCTGCTCCTCCCTGAAAATGGGCTGTGTTTAGCGAAGGCCAAGCCAGGCCAGGCCAGAACACATTTCACCTACATTCAATAGCCTTCAACAAGGTTTCTCTTCTTTGAGGGACGCTAGTCAAAGTAGCCTTCTTAGGCAGCTGAGTGAACAAAAGCCTCCTAAAACTCAGAGGCGGTTGTTGTGCAAACACAGCCAGAATGTGTACACACCCAACCCCATGTAGTTGAACAATAATTTACACAGTAACAAGTTAGGCTAACATGTAATTGCCTAATTGGTAGTCAATTCTGTCTATGTGTTGATGCACATGTATGTGTGTCCTCGCACGCATTTGGTATATTGCAGTCCCGGATAAAGCCAGTTTACAGGAAATACGGTAGATGTCCCTTTAAAGAGGCACTACATATATGCACCATGGCTGTGAGAAAGAAAATACTGCTGGGCCATCTCGGCAAAACTGAATAAGCTTGTTTAGTGCAATGTGTGAATTTAGTCCTGGAGTCCTGGTGGCGCAGTGTTAGAATGCAGGATTGCAATACTGCCCACAGCCTGAAGTTCGATCCTGATGGGGCTCAAGATTGACTAAGCCTCCTATCCATCTGAGGTCGGTAAAATGGATTGGGGGCAATATATTGACTCTGTAAATTGCTTAGAGAGGGCTGTAAGGCACTGTAAAGCGGTATATAAGTCTAAGTGCTATTGCTATTGCTGTTAGTCCCAAAATCCTGGCATGTATGTGTTTTCTGTGGAAGGAACAGACTCAGTGTTAGAAACTCAGCATTTTATATAGAAATCCCATGTGCAAATAGTCCTCGACTATTATTTGTTTAGTGACTGTTCAAAGTTACACTGGCATGGAAAAAAGTGAGTTATGACTGGTCTTCGCACCTATGATAGCATCCCCAGAGTCATGTGATGAAAGTTTGAGTGCTTGGTAATTGATGTGTATTTACAATAGTTGCAGCATCCCAGGATTGTGTATTTGCCATTTGTGACTTTCCCAGCTGTCTTCTTTCAGTGGGACTTATTTATGGCGAGCAAAGTTTAGGAATCAACTTTAAATGCTGTACTTTATCATATGGGTAAAAAGGGAATGGAATTTATAACACCTGTCTGTATTTGTGTATGAGTTACAACCTTTCATTACCCGAGTATTTATGTGTAAATGTCATGGCTACTTTTGTGGGTGAGTTTCAGCTAGGATGGTGCTGTGGGCTAAATTGGGAAGATCAAGCAAACCACTCTCAAGAAAATGCAGGAAAACCACTTCCGAATCACATGGAAGCTGTAGGGATACGTCCCCAACAAATCCTGAGTGGATTTCAACTTAGCAAGTGATTTTACTTTACTGTTAGAGTTAGGGTTAGAGTTAGGGTTAGTGTTTACCATCAAACCCAGAGAAAGCATCACTTTTCCTTCAGCAAGAGGCAGAACAATGTTCTAAGCCAGGGGTCTTCAAACTTGGCCCTTTTATGACTTGTGGACTTCAACTTCCAGAATTCAGCGAGGAATTCTGGGAGTTGAAGTCCACAAGTCATAAAGGGCCAAGTTTGAAGACCCTGTTCTAAACCCTTGTTTCCTTCATTTCAAGAATTACATACTGAGAGATCATTTATTGTGATTTGAACACTACCCAGCATGGAAAAATGGCCAGTGAAGACAATGACAATAAACAAAGCTATACATATTATTATATATTATTACCATTTAACAGGGGAAGTAAATGTTTTTACATCAGATATTTTCAGGATTGTGGAAATGAAGACTTCCTTAAAACATTTGACAACCATAAGATTCTCCCCAGTTCTACACAGCAAGGTAAAATAATGAATAATGGAAAGAAGCTGTTTCTAACCTGCAAAATGCAGAACAAGGCTGCACAATGGCGCTGGGATTAGCGCAGCGGTTTTTACTCCTAACTCAGCATTACATCTGTCTGTCTGCAATCCTTCTCACAACTTGTCCCTTCCATCTAGCAGCTGGATGAAGTTAGCGGCTGGATGAATGAGGATATAGGACAAGGGCCAGAAAACCTGTCCAGGTTGGGACTATGAACTGCAATTAACAGGATGGTGATGTGAAAGTGGGCTGAGATTTTCCAGAGGATCTCTTTTTAGGATGTAATCTGGGTCAGTCACTGGGACCAGAGGGTTAGTCTTCCAAGCTTTCGGACTCGTGCTGGAGCCCATCCTCTGGGAACTCCTCTCTCACCAGGAGAAGAGAGAGAAATTGGTGAGGGAGAAGTTCCCAAAGGATGGGCTCCAGCATGAGTCTGAAAGCTTGGAAGACTAAACCTCCCTCCGGTCCCGGTGACCGACCCAGATTGGATCCTGCAACATTATCCTGGTACATTGCTTTCATTTGTGATATCTTTTTAGTTTTGATGCTAAAAAAAAAACATTTCAAGTTGAGAATTAAAAAAAAAACAATGCTGTTTTCTTTTGTATCTAAAAACAACGGGAAAAATATGTCACTGATTTTCAGCAGGAAACAAGATCTGAGATGAGATTAGAAAGAGCTCCGGAGGATGTAATAAAGTAGTTGGGGGGTCACAGGTTGTGGATGATCTCACTTGGATAAGGATCAACCCAATGGATTAAGTCTGTGTTTCATCTACGGAAGAATTCTATTTTGAGTAGCCAGTGTCCTGTAACATCCAGTTCTAACCGAGTTAACACTGGCATGCTTCTTTGGATGGCTTCTTTCTTTGCAGACTACTTGCTCTCCTCTTATAAACGATTTTCACGCCATCCCAGCCTTCCTGCAGGTTAAACTCTTTGTTTCTCAGAGCCTCATAGATAGCATTGGTGATGGTCTCGAAAGCCAGGTCTATGTTGGTGTCAGTTTTGGCAGATGTTTCTATAAAAGATGTGCCTAGAGACATGGCCAAGCCTTCTGCTTCCTCCAGGGTGACCCTGTTCATTGATTCGAGATCACATTTGTGGCCAACTAGGAGAAAAATTACTTTGTCCATCACATTGGTCACCTCATTGTACCAATCAAAGATGCTCTCAAAAGACCTTCGATTGGTCATATCAAAGATCAGCAGCACACCAACCGCATTCCGGTAGAAAGACCTGGTGATGCACCTAAGAGGGGGAAAGGCCAAATTGATACATTAGCTTTTTCTCCAATATATCAGAGTTAACTAGAGCAGGGTTCTCAACTTTGGCAACTTTAAGATCTGTGGACTTCCAACTCCCAGAATTCTTCAGCCAGCATGGCTGTCTGAAGAATTCTGGGAGTTGAAGTCCACAAGTCTTCAAGTTTGGAGACCCCTGATCTAGAGGACAGAATTATTAATCTTTATTGTAATCTATAACAAGATATAATTTACTTGGACTTCAGTAAGGCATTTGATAAAGTAGATCACAACCTACTACTCAATAACATAGAAAAATCTGGATTAGACAGCATCACCACCAGATGGATCCGTAGCTGGCTGACTGGCTGTATTCAGCGTGTGCTCCTCAATGGAACCACATCTACATGGAGGGAAGTGTCTAGTGGGGATGCCCCAGGGCTCTGTTCTGGGCCCAGTGCTCTTCAGCATCTTCATCAACGATTTGGACAAGGGGATAGATGAGGAACTCATCAAATTTGCAGACGACACCAAGCTGGCAGGAATAGCCAACACTCCAGAAGACAGGCTTAGGATACAGGAGGATCTGGACGACTTGAACACTGGGCGCTATCTAACAAAATGAAAATCAATGGTGAAAAAAGTAAGGTTCTACATTTAGGCAAGAAAACCCAAATGTACAGGTATAGTATAGGGGGTACCTTGCTCAATAGTAGTAACTGTGAGAGGGATTTCAGAGTCCTAGTGGACAATCACTTAAATATGAGCCAGCAGAGTGCTGCAGCTGCCAAAAAAGCCAACACAGTGCTAGGCTGCATTAACAGAGGGATAGAATCAAGATCACATGAAGTATTAATACCACTTTACAATGCTTTGGTAAGGCCACACTTGGAATACTGCATCCACTTTTGGTCAAAGATGTTAAGACTCTAGAAAGAGTACAGAGAAGAGCAACAAAGATAATTAGGGGACTGGAGGCTAAAACATATAAGGAACGGTTGCTGGAATTGGGTATGTCTAGTTTAATGAAGAGAAGGACGAGGGGGGACATGATAGCAGTGTTCTAATATCTCAGGGGCTGCCACAAAGAAGAGGGAGTCAAGCTCTTCTCCAAAGCACTGGAAGGCAAGACAAGAAGCAACGAATGGAAACTAATCAAAGAGAGAAGCAATCTAAGGAGAAACTTCCTGACAGTTAGAACAATTAATCAGTGGAACAACCTGCCTCCAGAAGCAGTGAATGCTCCAACACGGGAAGTTTTTAAAAAGAGACTGGACAGCCATTTGTCTGAAATGGTATAGGGTTTCCTGCCTGAGCAGGGGGTTGGACTAGATGACCTCCAAAGTCCCTTCCAACTTTATTATTATTACTATTATTATTATTACTACTATTACTACTACTACTACTACTATTATTATTATTATTATTATTATTATTATTATTATTATCATGATAGGCTACTAATATCTCTTTATAGGATTTTTCTATGTACAACCTTTCTTGACAAATAAATATCCTAAAATAACTCCTGTCGCTGAGTTTATAACTGTGGCCTGTAGAATGCATGCTTTTCTAATAGCTATGTAAACTAAGCACTATCCTAAGACTTTTTATTATGTCTGTTATGCTATGGTTTTTATGTTGTCTGGGTCCATGACCTATGATAAACATCCTACTACTGCAAGATATCAGAGCTATTTGTTGAAGCACTTGTCTGGATACTGTTTCCTTCCATCATGTGCCCACTGACCTTGATCTGGAGTGGTGTTTGCAAAGCAATTTATTTTTTAGATGTAAACA